AAAAAAAAAAAAAAAAAAAAAAAAAAAGAGAGAGAGAGAGAATTAAAGAAGTGGAGAAGAGAGTCGAACAGAGACACCGAGACCTTTGGAAACACGGACAGAGACAGGTGCACAGCAGAGAGATGGAGCCCATCAAAAAGGACATGCCCTATCAGCAGCCCCAGCTCAGCCTTCGGTCGACAGCCCGCATCACTGCGGGTGTCGGGCATCTGCGCCCCTGGCCCAGCGGGGTCTCCAGGTCACTGCAGCCTCAGCCGGCGTCTGCCTGCACACGTGAGAGACCCTGAGCAGATCACACAAGTTGGCCAAGAGAAATCGAAGTGAACTAAGTCCACCGACAGCACTGGGAGCAATCATAATACTGAGCTGTCCTTTCAAGCCACTAAGCTTTGGGGTGGTTCGTCATGTAGCAATTGATGGCCAGAACAGGGATGGCTCAGGAAATCCAGAGTCTCGGGGCAGCGAGGATGCTTGGGGTGTCAGAGAAAGGTGGGTGAGGGGTCGGGAAGCCGAGGCTGCAGGCTTATTTGGAGCAAACAGACTAAGAGTTTGGAGAAGTAGGGCCAGCAGGGGGCGTGGTGGTTGAGACACTGAATTTCCACATGGCCGACCTTGGTTTGAGTCCCAGATCTGCTGACTTACTTTCGCTCTCTCTCTCCCTGTCTCTCTCTGGTGAGTGCATATGTCCTACAGCAAATTTAAAAATAATAACGGGCTGACAGGTGGTGCGGTGGCTAAAGCACTGGACTCCCAGATGACCACCCGCAGTTTGAGTCCTGGATCTGGTGACCTGCTTCCTTGCTTTCCCTTTCTCTCTCTCTCTGGTCAAATTGATAATAATAATAATAATATAATAACAAAAGGAATTAAATAAATAATTCTTCTTCTTTATTTTCTTAGAGATTTTTGTTATTCACTGGAGAGACAGAGAGACAGAAAGTGAGAAATCACCCCCTGGGGGGATGGCCATGCCGCAGTCCCTTCTCCTCCATTCTCCTCTCAGGATTTTAGGCACGCACGCACACGCGCCCGGCATGAGTTTAAGCCTCCAGGTCTGGGACTCAAACTGTAGTCGACTACATGGGACTCTACCATAACCATTATACCATCAGTCAGTCCCAAATAAGTAATTCTTTAAAAAATAAGATACATATTAAAAAAAAAAAAAGAAAACAATGAAGAACTTGGGAAGTACTGGAAAGTGAGGCTGAGGAAGTGTGGGCTTCGGAGTTTAGGGAAGACAGGGCTGGAGAAGCGATGGCTGGGTACATGGCGGAGCCCCCAAGCCCTGAGTGGAAAGGAATCACTGGTTTTCGGGGAGAGACCCCAGCCTGGCTTTACCAGCGGGCCGATTCTGGTTTACAGCGGAGACATCCGGCTGGCTGTCAATCGTCCCTGCTCCCTGGAGTGGCATGGTGCCTCTGGAGGTGGTCACCACGCTCCCCAGACCCTTAAGGCTAGCTCGGGCCACATGACTCTGCTTTGGCTGCCGTCAGCTGAATCTGAGGAACGTGTCCCCTCGAGTAAGATGTGGGTGTGCTTCTTCGCCACTTCTGCACCCCTTGTCGGCCAAGTGAAGAATGTCTGAGGGCTTGGTGTGGGGAGACGCCCACGGGAGGCTGCTGGCGGCATCCGGATTCAAGAGCGTCTAGATTATGTCAAGCTCACACTGTACGCCCCCCGGGCAGCCGGGCACCTTCTGGGGGCTCAGTGGCGACTCGCGGCTGACAAATCCCAGATCTCTGTCAAGCCCAACTCCTCTCCTGAACCCCAGGTGTCCCCGGTGGTTCCCCTCCTTGACATCTCTGCATGTCACATAGACACCCTAAGAATAGGCTCACCAGCTGGCCAGCAAGCAGCACGGTGGTTAAAGGGCTGGACTCCCACATGGCCGACCATAGTTTGAGTCCCGGACCTGGCAGCTTGCTTTCTCACTTTCCCTCCTCTCTCTTTCTGTCTCTCTCTGGTCAAATTAAAAGATAATAATAATAAATCAAATTAAATAAAAAATAATTCTTAAAAAAGTATTTAATTTTATGTAGCTACTTGTTGCTCCAGCCTCAGGTGACTGCTCACCTTAGAGCACAAGGTGGCCCTGTGCCCCCTGCTGCCAGCTCCTAGGTACTGCACCTTCCCGCGACGACTTTCCCTAACCCTGTCCTCTCCTTAAAGCGCCCTTTCACTCAACTCCGCTTGGCTACTCGGTTCGAACGCCCCGCCCCGCCCCACCTCTTTCCTGCCAGCTTGCCCTCTCTGAAACCCCTCATCTAGCCCTTTCCATTCTCTTCCTAAACCACCTAAAACCATTCTCCTCTGCTGCCTGGGGCCCTGCTCCGGCCTCCTCCCTGGTCTCCCAGCCTCCAGGATCCTAGGTAGTCGGGAGGACCACGTGAAAATATAAATCCGTGGATATCAACCGCCTGCCCCTGCCCCCATTTAAATCCCTGCCAAAGCTCCCCTTTCCTTGTAGGATAAATTCCAAGCACTTTAGCCTCTGTGTGTGTGTGTGTGTGTGTGTGAGAGGTTTTTGCCATAGGGCACGTGCACTCGCTGGAGAGACAGAGAGAGGGAGAGACATAAAGTAAGAAATCACCCCCTGGGGGATGGCCGCAGCGCACTCCCTCCTCCTCCATTTCTCCTTTCGGGATCTTGGGCACACACACACACACACACACACACACATACACACGTGCCCGGCGTGAGTTTGAACCCACTGGATACCGGATTCGAACCCCAGTCGACCATGTGGGACTCCAGCGCCTTAACCACCACGCCACCTGCTGGTCGGATAAGGGCTCTTGTACTTGGTCTTAAATTCTTGCCACCCTCTACCCCTATACTCCGTTCACGCTAACCATTTGCAAGACTCTGAAAAAGCCATTCCTTGCACGTCTGCACACCTTTACACAGACAGGCCTTTCACGTGGAGCAACACGCACGCACGCACGCGCCAGCCCACCTCCTCGTGTTCCGGGGCTCTGAGAAAGTTACTCGCTTTACTTCGGAAATCCCACTGTCCTAGCTCTCTGGCTCAGGGAAATCAGAGCCCTCGCGCTCCGAGTGAGCCCTGTGAGGGGGAACGGCTCGGGGGTGATACGCGTGGGCGTGGCTGTTCCGGGGGCGTGGCTACTGCAAACCAATGTGTGCGTAGAGGCGTGGCCAGCGGGAGCCCGTGGCGGGAGGGTGGGGGCGTGGCCACCGCGGACAGTCTGTGGCGGGCAGATGCGGATGTGTCCTCCAGGAAACAGGCGGCATGCAAAACCCCCAATTACCTGGTTGATTTCGCAGCTGCCCACATGGCAGTCAGACACGTAATTAACCCCCTACTCCTGAATCCCAACTTTCCATGGGAAAACTGCTTTTCAGGCAGAATTTCAAAGTTTTATGGCAACTTTTACAGAAATCACGGACAAAAGAGACAGCGACTGATGCGGATGAACAGGAAGAGAGGAGGGGAGTGGGTGGCAGGTTTGGGGTGTTGGGCTGATGCGCAACAGGACGAGAGAATGGGAGGCAGGAGGTATGGGGGTGGCAGGGTCAGACGAGGGTGCCGAGGAGTGGGCAGCACTCCCCACACCCCAAGTGCGTCCTTTGGGCAGGAAAATCAACAGTAAGAAAATGCAGACGGCCTACCAGCAGACGGGTGGCCCCCCGGCAGGCAAAGATGTGGCAGCATTTGCTGGCTTGTAGCATTGGTCCTCTGGGACCCTCGGTCTTCTCTTCGAGGGTCCTGCCCGGATTGGCTGGCACTGAGGGCAGAATGAACCTTCTAGATTGTCAGGAGAGATAGGCTGGCCCCTCTGATTCCCAGCCTCCTCCCCGAAGCGGATTCTCATGGCTGAGGGAGTCTGCTGCCCTCGCAAAGGAAGTCTGTCACGCCCCCTCCCCAAGACATGCACCCTCCCGTGTCCCCCCTCCCCCAAACACACTATGTACACGCACAGGTCCCTCCCTCCAAGGCGCGGCTGGGCTCTCAGAGGTAGTGGAGGGCGAGTGGGGGCGCTGGAATGTGAAAGTTGCGGGTTCAGAATGTGCCTCCTCCAGTTCACGTTGGGACGGAAACCCCAGACTTCTCCCCTCCCTCCTCCCAGCCTCGAAAATCAGTGTCTTCCCAGGAGCCTGAAACCAGGAAAAAAGGTGTGCACCCCCCTTATGCACACACCCACCTGTTCCTCCCCGGGGTCTGAACAGAGCTCCCTGAGGGCTGGGGGGCAGACCTTTGCTGTCCTGGGGCGCTGAGCCTCCTTCCCAGGGTCTCCAGCTCTGAGGCCCTGGGGCGCAGGTGTAGGGGGTGGCGAGCGGTGGGGAGACAGGGCCAGAGCCAGGCTGGGCTGGAGGAACGGCCACTCTGGGTGGTTGTCCGGGGAGCGGTCTGGAGGTGGAAATCTCCCCAGGGGAGTAGATGGCAACTAACAGGGAGCCGGAGCTGGGGGTCCACAGGGGTTGCTCCCGCTGTGTGGGGGCACTGGCGAGGCTCCTGTGGGGGGAGGAGGCTGAGCTCCCGGGGACAGATGGGGCAGGAGGCGGGGAGTGGGTATCAGATCCCAGGGGAAAGGAGGCTGAACCTCAGGGGGAGGCTGGGCCCCAGAGAGGAGGCCAAGTCTGGAGGAAGACAGTCCAGGAGCAGGAGCTCCAGTCCCAGGGGAGACCGGGTCTCTGTGGAGGCCCTAGAAGCCCCGGATGTGGCAGTAAGCCTCCAGGCTGGCGAAGAGGATGTAGAGGAACCAGAGGCCCAGGAAGAGCGCGGTGGTGGCGAGCTTGGGTCCGCGCGGGCCGCCCAGCTCGCCGCCGATGTGCGGCCGGCGCCGGTACAGCAGCACGGCGATGCCCACGAAGGCGAAGACGGTGAAGAGCGTGACGGAAAAGGCCAGCGTGCCGGTGCGCACCTCGAAGGGGCGGCCCTGCACGGCCCAGTACACAGCGGCCACCGACCAGGCCACGCCCAGGCCCAGGAACACGTTCACCGCGTTGGAGCCGGTCACGTTGCCGATGGACGCGTCCGCGCACTGGTCCTGCAGCGCCGCCACCTTGCTGGCGAACGTGTCTGCGGGCAGAGACATGCGGGTGGGCATCCCTGCAGGGGCTGGTATCCACCGGCCCGACGCCTGCTTTCTATGGACCCTCTGCCTACTGTCTGTGGGCCTTTCTGCAGCCCGCCTCCCACTCCTGTAGCCATGTGCGGCCACTCGAGACCCCAACCGCCCAAGGAGCGGTGGGTCACCACCCCGCCTGCTCTCCAGAGGACCCGCTACCTGCTTTCTATGGGACTCACCGTCGCTTTCTAGGGGCACCGACATCCGGTGTCTAGTGGGACTCCCGGCTGGATTTGTCTACACTCAGGGACCTGCTGTCTACTTCCTGTGGGAAGTGCTACCCGCTTTTGGTGTGACATTGCCATGCATGGTGTAGGCTCTACGGGACTCACCTGCCTTCAGGGGGACCCACTGGCCACTCTCTAAGGGACTTAAGCCTTTTCCTATGGGACCCACTGCCTGCTTTCGTGACACTCACAGTTCGCATTCTTCGAGACCCATGGTCCATAGTTTAGAGGACTCTGCCTGCTTTCGATGTGACTGCTCTCTGTGGGGTGACTTTCTTCTGTGGGGCTCTCGGGCTTGCTTTCAGAAGAAACTACCTGCTGCTTGTTCTTCTGTGGGCCCAGCCACCCCCCGCTGGTGGAGGAAGCATGGAGCCCACCCGCGCACACTCTTCCTCTGGGTCCCCACTGTTTGCATCAGGCTCAGCCTGGCTTCTGCCGCCTCCCCAGGCCTGGGCACCAGGTAACAAGCCCCAGTGTGAAGACAGCCATCAGAAAAGCAGAGTGAGGCTCCCTACTCTGCCCGCTGTCTCTGGACCCCCTGCCTGCTTCTCAGGCCTGCAGAGCCGTCCCCCAGCTGGTGCACGTACTGATGTGAAGACAAGGTCAAGCCCCAGACCTGTGAGAAGTCGCCGTCTCGCCACCGTCATCCTAAGGACCCTCCCTGAGTTTACTGGGGAAGAGGGGCCAGTGGCCCCTGTGTTTTGGCGGGACGCACCCTGTAGTCTCTGAGCCCCACCACCTCGCTTCTGTGGCACCCTCTCTAACATCTGGGGCCCACTCTGCCCCTGCTCTGAGTTAAAACGCTGAGGCCCGCTGGCCTGGCTTCTGGTGTGCCTGCCAGCACAGCCCTGTGGTCTTCGGGCTGGTGTGTTGGGGAGAAGGGGACCTTGTCCAATGGAGTCCCTGACTTAGTCTGGGGGGCCCTCCACTCCGTCTTCTCAGTCCCTTGCCACCTCTCGTCTATGTCTGGTCACTACCACTCCCACCACCTTCATCCGGGGGACGTCCAGTGGTGCTTTTGAGAGGCTTCCATTCACTGCGTCTCTGGGGGCCCCCACCCCCGGTCTAGCTTCGATCATGCCCCCACCATACTGCTCTGGAGCCACCACGTGGGGTTGGTGTGACCCCACCACTGTATCCTGTAGCATCTGTCCCTGATGCCACGGTTGCCAGGGTCCCCGAGACCCTGCCCCAACCTACGGTCTCCGGAGTGTTACCAGGGATGGAGGTGCCCAGGGCCACAAAGACCACGGCGTTGACGGAGTCCTTGAGGCCAACAGTGCAGCCGAAGTGGGAGGCCAAGTCCCCGATGAGGGCAGTGAGCAGGCCGATGACCAGGATGCAGACGCCAAAGCAGGCCCAGCCATGGCAGTACTCGGTGGGGGGCACGCAGGCGAACAGCACCTTCCAGAACACCGTCAGGAAGTGCATCACGTAGTCGAAGCACGATGGGAGGCGCTCCTCCCGAGACCCGTCCTCCTCCTCCTCCTCGTCCCCTGTGGGCACATGACTGAGCTGGGGCAAACACCCATGCCTCCTTCTCCCTCACCTTCCAGGCTCCATCTGTTGGACTTCCAGATAGCGAGTCCCACAGACTAACTGCTTTCCCAGGATCCCTTGCGGCTCAGTATGGCCATGTCAGCAGCTAAAAATACTTACTATCCCAGAATCCCTTGCAGGTAGAGGAGCTCCTATGTGCCCAGCTAAAAATATCCACCTTCCCAGGACCCCTTGCTGCTTGGGATGGCAATGTCTCTAGCTAAAAATGTTCCTTCTCCCAGGGAAGGACTGCTGCAGCTAACCACAGCCGTCGACTCTGCTAAGGGGACTCACCATCCCAGAATCCCTTGTAGCTGCTGGGTTGTCAGAAAAACAATGATGGATTTTTTTTTTTTTCTATTTAAAATTGCATCATGACGGGACCAGCAGTTGGCGTAATGGCTATATCACCGGACTCCCATGTAGTCGACTGTGGTTCAAGTCTCAGATCCAGTGGCTTAAATTCATGCCAGGCACGTGTGCGTGTATGCCCAAGATCCAGAGAGGAGAATGGAGGAGAAGGGATTGCGGTGTGGCCATACCCCCGGAGGGGTGATTTCTTGCTTTCTGTCTCTGTCTCTCTCTTTCTGGCAAGCGCATGAGCCCTACAACAAAAACCTCTCTAAAAAAATGCATCATGACTTTTCTGACAACTCAATATTAGAGCCATATACCAAGTTAAAACTAATCACTTTCTCAGAATCTTTTGAGGCTAGCAATAGCTATATCCTCAGATTAAAGTATTTGCACTGGGGCTGGCAGGTGGTGTGGTGGTTAAGGCGCTGGACTCCCACATGGCTGACTGTGGTTCAAGTCCCGGACCTGGTAGCTTGCTTTCTCATTTTTCCCCCAGGCCCTTGTCTCTCTCTGGCCAGTGCCCTATAGCAATTTTTTTTAGGGGGTGAGGTTTTTGCAATAGGGCACACGTGCTCACCAGAAAGACAGAGACAGAGAAATGTTTTGACCAGAGAGGTACAGAGCGAGAGCAAGAGAGAGAGAGTGGGAAAGCAAGTCTTGCCAGGTCCAGGACTCAAACCACAATAGGCCATGTGGGAGTCCAGCACTCTTAACCACCACACCACCTGCTGGCCCTACTTGTTTTTAGAATTGTTTATTTAATTTTATTTATTCATTTATTTATTTTAATTTGACTAGAGACAGACAGACATACAGAGAGATGAAAAGTGAGAAAGCAAACCACCAGGTCCAGGAGTCAAACTGTGACTGCCCATGTGGGAATGTCCAGTGCCTTAACCGCCACGCCACCTGCTGGCCTGGTCCCTGTTTTCTTTTATGGAGAGGTTTTTGCTATAGAGTGCATGCGCTCTCCAGAAAGACAGAGATAGACAGAGAGACAGAAAG